GCTGAGGTCCAAACGAGTTAAGTCACTGGAGCCAGACAGGTACAGGACACCACTTGCTACCCCCTCCAGTTCCATGAATTCTTAACCAGCCCTTCTCTGTAATACATGTTACAAGTCACCAATAAAATGGGGTGACAGCGTGGACAGCTCAGTACAAGCATTACCTCTGATAAACAGACCAACTTTGATACTTCAAAGCCCCCTCCCTCCTCTAGCAGGCTCAGCCTATGTCCCAGGGCTTAACTGTTATCTTAACTCATTTCTCTTGCAGGACACACTGTCCATACTTCTAACTCGTAAAACCACATCTGATTTATTTGAACATTCAGGTCTTCAAATACCAAAATGCCCTTGTGTGAAATCCTAAAGTTGAGGATTTGGACTTGGAGAGATGCCATTTACCAGCCACGAAAGGTAACATGCTTTAAAGAGCCTGGATTTCTTTTCTTTCTTTGCAACTGAGTTAGTTGCTTGGTACGCTTGGGATACTCACTTCTTAACCCTAACTGTTTAAGAACCAGTTGACTGGGTTTCCCCTGTGAAAAAACCATGGGAAACAATGTCTATCTACCTCTCAGAGGTGTTGTGAAGATCACCTAATGAATGTTTCACAGCATGTGGCCCTAGGAAAGGGCAGGGTGCTGTATACTGCCACCATACATCCTCAGTGGTTGGCTACACACACACACTCCCACATTTCTGACCCTACCCCCTAAAAGGAAATTAATTTTGTTCTTATTTGAGGGGATTTCACAAAATGTCACATTGAAAACATTCATGTTCTAAAAACTAAATTTAATTGAATGTGGCAAGTGAACATACTAACACTAATGGTGTTGTCTCAATCTACAAGTTCTTTAAGGACAGAAGGAACTTAACCTGATGATTCCTTAATCAAATATATTTGATGGGACAAATACAATCAGTGGTCTCATTCTGTTTCAGTTTAGAGAGGACTGAAAATGCTTTCATCATGTATTGGTTGGATGCTTACTTCTTACCAGTCCTATTAACTCAAGTTACAAAATGACTTTGTAACATATGCACAGACAGGTGACCATATTTTGGAAAAGAGAAATTAACACAGAGTTAAAGTATGACTTACTCAGGGTTCTGCTATAAAGGTGACAGCTCTGTGTGTATCCACTTAGATTCAACACCACACATTTATGAGATGGCTCAGCTGGCCAGCACTAAGGGTATATAGTTAAGGGTACCAGGTCTACTTAGGAGTTTGAGGTCACAAAATAGTGTGAATCAACCCAAATCAGCCTACCCTTGTCCTGGTCTTCCAAACCAGGTCCTATGGAATCAACTTAATTGTACACAGAACAGGTGTGGGTAATTAACAGTCATGTACTCCATCTATTAAAATCAAATACATATCTGCCAACCAAGGCTGATCCTCCTTCAGACTGTTTTCATCAGTTTACACCAAATGGGAAAAAATAAGGAAAGCAGGTTTTTTTCAGGGTTTATTTCATCCTATTTTAAAATCGTGTAGCTTATTCCAATATTTTGTCATTGCCATTATTTTGTGTTAAATATTATTTTACCAGTAGGAGTAAAAAAAAAATACCTGGTTTATTAACATCCCGATTTGGCAAAATAAGAAGTTAGCCTCTCTGCATTGGTCTTTAGAGTTAGAAAATGGGTGGAAGAAGCATAATTTGGTCAATTTTATTCTCCAGTACTCCCCCTCCCTTCCCTCCTCCCTCCCTGGTGATCCCCTTCCTCTCCTTTATTGGTCTCCCTTCTAGTTTCATTAAATTTCTTTTTTATCTCTCTGACTTCCATATGCAAATCCCTCTTTTTTGTTATAGTTAGTTATACATGACAGTTGAATGCATTTTGACACATCATACATAAATGGAGTATAACTTCTCATTCTTCTGGTTGTGTATGATGTAGAGTTACATTAGTCATGTAATCATACATGCACAGAGGTAATAATGTCCAGTTCATTCTGTTATCCTTCCTACCCCATACTCCCTCCCCTCATTTCACTTCCCTCTATTTAATCCAAAGTACCTCTAGTCTTCCCAATCCCCAACATTGTGAATTAGCATCTGAATATCAGAGAAAATATTTGGCCTTTTGTTCTTTGGGATTGGCTTATTTTACTTAACATAATATTTTCCAGCTCCATCCATTTACCAGCAAATTTGCCATCATTTCATTCTTTTTTATGGCTGAGTGAAATTCCATTGTGTACATATACCATACTTTCTTTATCCATTCATCTATTGAAGAGAGCCAAGGTTGGTTCCATAGTTTAGCTATTGTTAATTGAGCTGCTATAAACATTGATGTGGCTGCATCACTGCATTATGCTGATTTTAGCTCCTTTGAGTATAAGCTGAGGAATGGTCAAATGGTTGTTCCATTCCAAGTTTTCTGAGGAATCTCTGTACGGCTTTCCATAGTTATTATACCAATTGCAGTCCCACCAGCAATGAGGGAGTGTACTTTTTCCCCACATCCTTGCCAGCATTTATTGTTGCTTGTATTCTTGATAATTGCCATTCTGACCGGAATGAAATGAAATATTAGAGTAGTTTTGACTTGCATTTCTTTAATTGCTAGAGATGTTGAACATTTTTTTTATGTATTTGTTGATGGATTCTATTTCTTCTTCTGTGAAGTATTGGGTTCAGTTCCTTAGCCCATTTGTTAATTGGGTTATTTGGTTTTGGGGGGGTTTTGATGTTAAGTTTTTTGAGTTCTTTATGTATTCTGGAGACTAATGCTCTATCTGAGGTGCAGGTGGCAAACATGTCATTGTTTGCTTTGTTGAGAAGAAGAAGATTCCATCCCATTTATTGTGAATCCCACTTTTATATGTAATTATAATGCACCAACTAAAAAAGCAATAATAGAAAGGAGAGACCAGTGGAGTAGAGAAAATAAATCAGGGGGAAGGAGGAGGCAAGGGAAAGAAGAGGTACTAGGGAAATGAGATTGATCAAATCACATTATGTGCATGCATAAATATGTCACAATGAAATATGAATATGTATGATCATAATGCACAGATAAAAGCCATAAGAAATAAAAAGTATTTCTGCATAGAAAAAGGAAACAAAGAGTTTTGAAACCCAAAAGTTTGGTCAGTACTACCTCAGTTACCTTATGCTAAAAACTCATAAAGAGCAGAGATCCATGTGATCAAATGTTTCATAGGACACAACGCATCATTTCAATATGTAATTCAAGAGAATTTCAAGATGTACTAATAAATGGAATTCCCAAATTCAGAGCTAGGAAAGTAGGCTTCCATCTAAAATCAAAGGAAATGTAGATTCTAAGGTACTATACAAACAGAAATTATATTGCCATTCTGCAAGCAGAATTAAGAATTTTAATTAAAACCCAAAGAGCATGCAAAAAGGCAAGGTAACCCAATACATTTGGGTCATAACAATAAGGAATGAAAATACTATTGGTGTTCCAGTTCTGTAGAAGCTATAGTCAAGTATTGATTCTGCACCAGAGGATAAATAACAGAGAATTAGCCATTATGGTAAGGAAAAAAAGAACACAGGTGTTACCCACCTTGGCCCTGGCTGACAGAGGCTGGGGGGAGGTGGGCAGGAGGGTGGAGGAGCTAATGTTCTCATGTTTTAACGGGTCATTTAGCAAGGTTCTCTATGGTCAGCGGAATATAAGATGAGGGTGTGAGGATTTTGCATGAGTGTAAGCAATGCCCTTTGAGTTAGGGACACAAATGGAGGGAAGAGGCTTGGGGGAAGAGATGGCTGAATAAGGAAGAGAACCCTCATTATCTTAAAAGAAGACAACAGAGTCACATGTTTATAAACTGAGAAACACTGATGCTATGGGTTTATAGTGTCCCCTCAAAAGACATGATCAAGTGCCTGGTACCTGGGAATGTGACTTTATTTGGAAATGGGGTCTTTGCCCAGGATATTACAATGAGGTCACAAGTGGGCTCTAGGCCACTATGAATGAGTCCTCCTAAGAAGTGGAAGACAGAGACATGGGGTGAGCCAAGGAACCCCAAGGATTGATGGCCAACACCAGAAACAGAAGAGGCAGGAGGACGCTTCCTAGGACTTCCAAGGGAGCCTACCCTGCTGATACCCGATCTTGGACTCCCAGCCTCCAGAGGGTAGACAATACATTCCTGCTGTTTACGGTACTGAGTTACAGCAGCCCTGGACTGGCACAAATGGTATACACGCACATCATTTAGAGATAAGAAGGTGATCCCCCAAAGAACTGCAAACGAGCCTGTGCAGGGACTAAGGTGCTGTCTCAGGGAAGTGGGCCTAAGGGAGGAGCTGAGCAAAGTAGGAACAGAAACATTTATTAACAGCCTTCCTTGCTCTTTGGTTTTTTTAACCACATGTGTGTGTTACTTTTATCTTTAAAAGAGTATAAATAAATTACCCGTGTGATATTATCAAAACACAGCTCTCTCCACGGCTGTCAACGTACTCTGATGATTGATGGCCATCTCCTCCACCTGTCCCCCGCCTCCTAGTTCCCCAGATACTGTCCCAGTCTTCAGGGAGAGCAGAACTGGGCTGGGGGTGGGGGCGGGTGGCATCAGCCTGGACTTTGAAAGAGGATGACGTCTGATCCCGTGTGTGCTCACACTCTTGACTCCACTTCAACACCAAACACAAATGATTTCTGGGCTTTTTGTGGGTTTGTATCATGGATGAGGGTGATTTTCCCTACTGACTTGGCTGATGAGGCATCAGCTACAATGAACACTGAGAGAGCTCATCACTGGCTTCCTTTGTAGATTAAAAATGCAAACAGTGCCCAGCAAAGATTTCAGTAACTTGGTTAGCCTGCATCAGAAAACCTCACAACAGCACTTCATCACTAACGTTGGCTCATCATGTTTACCAAACCCACAAGAAGAAATTCAAAGTGTCCCCCGCATGGCCTGGGTCCAGCGCCTTTGCCCGGCGGTATAGGCTGTGACTCTCCTGGCTGTGAGAAGCCTCATGCCCTCTGCTCACATTGAACCCAGCAGCTTGTAATGTGGCAAAACACTGCTGTCACCTCCCACGTGAACAGGCCTACTGATGACCTTGGGGACCTAGAGCAAGGGCCCCAGCCCCCAACACAGGGCGCCGGGCAGCAGGCAGAAGACAAACACAGGCGTGGGAAGGCTTTGCTGAGGTCTGTTTGCACCCAGCTCCGCTTGGCAGCTGGGGAGCACCTTGCCATTCATTGGCACTGAGGAAAGGCCAGGTGAGTGGAACCTGAATGGAATGCCCCGCGGCTACCGGATGGACGAACATGCAGGAAGCAGAACAAAGGGGTGGCATTTTATCAGCAGTAGAATCCTGATTGCAGTCATGGCCCAAGGGGAAACCGTTTGCTTTTATTTTCTTTCTAGCCTTCCTTTTCCCTCGTAACACCTTCCAGCCATCCAGGTGATTACCTTACCTGCCTACCGTCTAGACTCAGTGTTTTCCCTGGCGTCCATGTTGCAGGGGGCAAGGTCACCTCGGAAGGGACTTCCAGGACAGATGGGAGCCATGCCAACAAGAAAGTAAGTCACAGTCCAAAACCCCGAAGCATGCCTGTGTTGCTACTGCACAGAGAATAAAATGGCTCGATTTTTACTATGTGACCTTGAACAGAACTCTCCCTTCCGCCCAGCATGCAGAAGACATGGTGGTCCTGTGTAAAGCTGGCTACGTTCAGCTACACACATCTGCTTTCTAATTGTCTCTGTTACTGTCCCCTGCAGCTGGCCTCCTCCCCTTTCTCGCTTTTAAAATATCACCTCTCAACATATCGTGAGGAAGACCAAACCCTTAGACTCAGATGTTCCAGAAACCTGATATATTAGTTGTGCTTTGAATATGCCTGGCTACTTCTCATCTGCTTTTTTTTCTTGGTCGCATGAACACTGCTGTAAACAAAATCTGTGTTTTTCCTTGAGGTCACCATTGAACAAGCTTCACAAGCATTTCACTATAGTTCAGGAACATGAAGGATCTGATTTTTCTTGTTCCATACCTACACACATGCACCAACATGTGTGCGCACACACACACAGAGCCATGGATCGTTTGAACTTTCCTAGAACTACCAGAGTTCCTTAGCAACATAACTGAAAACATGGCAATACCCTTTGGATCTCCAAGTTCTGAACTCACTATGTGAATTGCTCAAGAGGTACATAACTCAAGGCTTCAAGACCTCGTTTTACCAAAAGATATCTTAGTAGGCACTAGTCTACAGAACTTTCTTACAGAGCAGGGCACCTGTATCAGCTGTCCCGTGTGGGAGCCAGGCTCACCTTAGCCAGCAGGGCTGGGCGCTGACATAGATCACAGACAAGCAGGGCAGACAGTTCCTCGATCCTGAGGAATAAGCACAACCCAGCTCCTAAAGAGCGGTCTCAGGATCCTTATTACCTGATGAGCTCATTCAGAAAAAGGTGGTGGGAGACATGCAGCCAATTGATCTTAAAAATAGAAAAAAAATGGACAAAGTGCCCACATCTCCTCCCATTTTCCTGGCAGAGGATGGGAGTTGATCAAGTGGGAGAAATAAGAGGAACAATAACTGCTCAGAGAAGAAGAAATGAAAAAGACTAGTACACACGAGCTGGATCAGAAGAAAGGGCAAAACCAAGCAGAATGATCTTTGGATAAGAATGGAATTACATAATACAGCGCCCATAACACATAAAGTGCTCTGCCCCACAAATCACTTCTCTACCAAGAATTAGAAGGTGCACAATAAACACAAAAATCAATTAAGGTCTGGAGAAGGCCTCCATTCCCCCTGAAGGGGCTTCATCTTATCCAAACGCAGTTGACTTTCACAGGTGCGGTCAGGCTGCCTTGGAAAGGGTATTTTTTTTCTTTTTATTATCATTTGCTCATAGAGTGAGTGATTGTTCCAATTTTAGTCTGCAAAGAAAGGTTAGACAGGAGGAGTAGAATGTTCTTTCACTTAGAAAATAATCTAATCTGTCCCATTGCCTGAGGCTCCCTGGGCCTCTGCTGCTGCTCCTGCTTGGAAGAGCAAGGACCAGCCACACCAGTGACCAGCGGCTTGGTGGCCACGAGACCAGTATTACCTCATCTTCCCCACAAGACTACACCATCCCAAGCACCCCCATCCAGAAAAGGCAGAGAACAGCAGCACAATGCTTGGCCCACAGGAAGCACAAAATAAATATTCACAGAGGGAACAGGAAACAAGAAAAAGTTCTCCAACCCAACGAGAGAAAACACCAGAGTCACAGTGCTCCTGTCACTAGCCACAAGATACCCGAGCAGGGCAGCTCACCTCTTGTGGAACAACTCAACCTGTGTTTGTTGAATGAATAAGAAAAAGAAATAGCTTTGAAACTTAGAAATAAAAACATTTTGGGAGGGAATCAGTTGTATTTTTATTAGACTAACTATGCCATTTAAGGAATTTGGTAATAAAGTTTTTGAAAAATAGAAGTCTTATTTTTCATACAAAACTGGATTTTGGTAATATGGGGTTCGCCTAAAGATGAGAACACACCCACGTATTTTCTTTGGACTCAAAGTACAAGTACTTTGTACAAGTACAAAATAAAGGAAAATAATCGAAAGTGCTTTCACGGTGAGGGTGTTTGCTATCAAATTAATTGGCCCTGGTGTGGCGGATCACCTCCCAAGGTGTGCAAGCGTGGTTGGTGAAAATCCAGAACCAGAGGTAAGGAACTAGTGCCAGGGTCAGAGCTTAACCTCCTGAGCTGGGATTCTGACCAAATTAGGTCTCGTTGGACCTCAGGAGCAGCCCTCTGCCTTCCAGAAAGGAGGTGGACAGTGGCTATTTTGGTCTGTCTGCCCATCTGGTCCGCTGCGGCTGATGAGGTCAGCCACTCAGCTCCAGGCCAGGCCGGTGACGGGGTGCCTCCTCTGTTAGCCGGCCATCCCACTCGGACAAGAGCCCTCAGAGAATCCTGCAGGGACCCAGCAAGAAAGTTCCGGAGGGCAGATGAACACTCACCACCACCCTGGCCTAAGTACAGTCCCAAGCTATGGGTCAGTGGCATTCCTGTCATTGAAGAAGGGGACAGTACATCAGAACTTGACAGAGGAACAGGCCCCAAACTGTTGTCCCCAAATAAAAAAACTCACATCAACAGGAATATAAAAATGTTACTTAGAACTTCTGTTCTCAGATGTTTAACACAAGGGAGAGATTGTTGTGCCAGGGAACGCCGTGGTCCAGTGTTCACAAAGCCAGAATTCTCTCGCTGAGCATTCTGTTTCCAAAACACTAAGGAATACAGCAAGATTTCAAGACGGGGGAAAGAAGCTTCCTCTGGGAACAGGAGAGAAAGCTGAAATCCTTCACAGAGGGGCTGAAATCCTCCCAAGAAAACGCAAGGCTCTGAGCAACCGTGGGCTCTGCGGGCAGGGCAGCCAGTGGGTACGGCGAGTCCGCCCGCCCGCCCGTGCCCAGATCTGTGGAAGTGGTATGGGGTGGGAGGAAGCAGGCCTGGGAGGTTTTAAAGCAACACAACATCCTAGTAACAGAGCATGCGAACCGGAGAACCTCAAGCACTTTTAAAAATAAGTTCCTTGGAGGCCTGGGAGTGTAGCTCAGGGGTAGAGCACCTGCCTAGCATGCGCAAGGCCCTGGGTTCCAACCAGCACCGCAAAAAAAAAAAAAAAAAAAGAAAAGGAAAGAAAGAGAAAAGAAAAGAAAGTAGCCCTTTGGGTCCAGGATTCCAGGCAGTTTGGTACAGTTTACCTTCACTGGGATTGTTGGCCAGAAAGGAACGTGCACACGCGCCCCTTTACTACTCATCCCAAGGAGACCTCCTTCATGAAGGTGGTGTGGGGGTAGCAGGATGGCTGACAGTGACCTCTCTTGAATGTCCACCATATCCAAATGCGTTGCAGAAGGAAGAGCCAAAAGCCCCAAGCAGAAAGAAAACTCCACGGTATCCATTTGTTTCCTCTTATTTTTAATCTCCTTACTTTTCAACTTTTCCACTGAAAACAGTCACATTACTGTCCTTCATCCTCTCCCCTTTATGGAACAGGAAGGTTCTGGAAGGCAGTGCAACATGGATGGAGATGCCAGGCTTGGAATCCAGGTTCCCCCACCTCATCCTGGCCCCACTGCACTGTGGGATCAGTGAATTTAGTCCACTTTCCTTCAACTCAATTTCCTCATCCATAAAATGGAGTGAAGATGCCCTGCTTCAATTCCTTACGAATCAAAGCGTAGTAAATGATAAAGAGAAGTGTCCGCACGCAGGTTCCTGCCTCACCCATCCCTGAGCCTGCCCACAGCAGACACATGCTAAATTTAATAAGACAGTAAAATACTTTAATTCCTCTAGTTTTTCCTGATAATATGTCCTCTGCCTTTCCCCCTAATCTCTCTGCCTGTCTCTGAGCAAGCACACTTCAGATGAGGCAGGAGACCATTATACATACCCTCCCTATAAAGCGTGACACTGTGCACCAAGCATTGTTTTAATTAATGGTCAGGATGGTGGTAAAATTGAAATGAGATGATGGTGCACACACCCCACCACCAGCGGCATGTCCTACCTCTGAAATTTCAAGGAGCGCCTTTGTTAAAATATACAAAGGAAATACTTAAAGAGGTAAAGGAGGATAGAAGGCAACAACAGATATAAAAGTCAGGAAGGTCAAATTCTCAGCTTTGTCTCCAAATTTGTCTTCAAATTTTTTGAAGAGCATGCATAATATTAAACATATTTAAGGAGTCAAAAAATCATAGCAACTAATAAGTATTAACATAAGCTGACACATATGAAATTTTAAGGTGATTACCCACTTGAAAAAGATATTACTATAATTCCTTTTGACAGGCAGCTGAGAACGATGACAGACCGGAGTGACGTCCGGCTCCTACAGCCAGTACCACGCCCCAACCCCTTGCTTCTCTCAACTCACTTGGGCAAAAACACTCACGGGGCACCTGCACGTGGCAAACGTGGTTTCAGGTCAGAATGAGCAAGGGATCCAGTTGAAGTGGCCGCCCTCTGAGGCCCTGGGGCACCACAGGGCAGCAATGTCCACAGAGCAGAGCTGCAGAGGCAGGAGGGGCCACGGGGGGCTCAAAGGGAAGATCAGGGACTCTCACTAGTGACCCGTGGATAGGATGAGATGCCCGAGGCGCCAGGGCCCTGGAGGGGTGGGAGCACAGCTGTGGGGCACGTGGAGAAGCACCTGCAGCCCTCCAGGTGGCTCCAGCCAGAGCCCCGGGTCTTTCCCTCTTGAATCAAAACAAACAGCCAAGCACTCAAAGCCAGCACTGGGCCCTGCAGCAGGTCCGCTGGGGAGCGGGGTCTGGAGGAAAGGCCCCGCAGTGAGAGGACCTCAGAGGAGGTAGAAGTCGGGAGCTATAATGAGCTGGGAGGGAGAGACCCATTTCTCACAACTGCACAGGAGGCCCTTCCCCACGGTGTCGCATTTGATCTTCGAGGTGACCGTAACCCTAGGTGTAGCACTTACTAACCCGTTTTAAAATCTCATCCGAGATTACAGAACTAGTTAGAGATGGAGCCAGGGCAGCTGGGTCAGTCTGACTTTGGGATCTGTTTTCTAAACTATGGTACTACTTCTCTATTTGCAGCAGCTTCACACAGACACAGGCATGCACTCAGAGGAGAATTTTATAGTCTAGGCATGGGGAAGGTCAGTCTAACCATGACTCAAATCCTAGAGGCTATAAAAGAAAAAACCTGATAAATCTGATTACATGAAAATAAAAATTTCCTGCATTGGGAAAAAAAAACACCCTAAACAAAATACAATGGCAAACCAGAAGAACTATCTAGAACATGAATCACAGAGAGAAGGCTAATTTCCTTAAAAAATATAAGAAATGCCTATAAATCAAGAAAAAAAAATCCAACAAAGCCCAATGAAAGTCAGCTAACAGAAAATCAAAATAGTTCATAAACCCACCAGAAGATACTTAAAAGAACCGGAGAAATGAGGGTTAAACTTCTCAGAATGGCGAACATCAAAATGTTTGATAGATACACAACAATGAGGCTATGCAAAAAGAAACATTCTCATAAATACTCATGAGAGAAGAAATAAGGCACCCACCAGGAAGGATGATCTAGCACTGTCTATCAAAATCACCAATAGACTTACTCTTGGATTTGAATTCCAATCCCAGGATTCTATCCTGCAGGTGAACCCAGAAGTGTGCACAATGACGTCGTCAGGAAGCCCGTTTTTGCTGCACTGATGGTTCTAGCAAAACTCTGACAAGAACCTAAATGTCCAACAAAAGGACACTGATAAATAAATGATGGCATATCCCTATGATGGCCTATTATTTAGACATAAAGGAGAAGAGGAAGTGCTTAATATATTGATATGGAACAAGCCGCAAGGCACACTGCTCACCAAACAAAGCAAATTAAAAATGGCAATCGAAGTGTGTCATCACGAATGGAAAACAACACCTCATGCAGACACAAGCATATCTGTGTGCACCCCTGGGAAGGTACACAAGGGACTGGCAACAGTAGGCGCTTTGAGGGAGAGATGGGTGGCGGGGGAGCAAGGTCAGGAAGGAGACCTCCTGTTGCTGAACTGTGTACTCTTTGAGTCTCTTGCATTTATATTATGTGCTTAGATTACCTACTCAAAAAAATTAACATATATACACACATATGTACACACACACACACGCACACACCTATCACTTACAAATCAAAATCAAGTGCCAAAGAGTCTTCTGGCCCTCAACGCTGTGTGAACTTAGGCAAGTGGTTGCTTCACTATTTAGAAAGGGTCTGTTTGTTCATTCATAAAATTGAGATGATCGTCCTTCCTTCCTCCCAAGGCTAAGAGGAGCCAATGAATGGATGTATGCAAAGTCCTTAGATGAGTGCCTGGTACGTATTGAACAAATGCAAGCATAAGTGCTTCTTAAATAAGTGTTGGCCAAGGAAGATGTCTCTAAAAAGTAACATCTAAGGTCACCTCAGAAAGAAGTAGGAATGAGATAAGAAGTGGGAAGCAGGTGAGGCAGGACGTATGGCTCAGAGGGACTAGCATGTGCAAAGGTCAGGGGGTGGGAAATGCCCTGGTGTGTTCCAGGCAGCCTGTCGGGGTGGAGGTGGGAGGGCAGGGTACAGCCAGAGTCGTGGCTACTGACCTGCAAGGGACCAGTCACAACAGTTTCCCTGAGGTGGTGGGCAGCCAATGGAGCCTTCTAGGCAGGGGAATTCCACAATTGGACTGACTTTTCTAGAAAGATCTCTCTGGCCACAGTCTACAGGACTGTCTGGGTGAGAGAGGCCACCTGGAGAGGGTCGCAGTAACTTAGGGAAGAAGTGATGTGGTTGTGAACTAAGATGGTGGCAGTGAGCCAGGACAAGGGAAGGAGTCAGGAGACATGAAGGAGGTGAATGGACCAGGTAGGTGACCTGGGTGGGGGCTGGAGGTGGGCAGAAGATGAATCAAGGATGACTCCAAGTTCTGACTTGGTCAGTTTGGAGATCCGTGACACAACTGAGACAAGAGTGCAGAGAAAGGACCTGGTGAGAAGAGGGGTGAGATGGTGACATGGTCCTAGATGGGCTGAGGGTCAAGTATCTCACAGGGTCTAGTGATCAGTTAGCCACAGGGTCTAAATTTCAGATAAAAGTCCAGGCCTGGAAACCCTGCTTTGGGAGGTACCAGGCATGTCTTCAATATTAAAGGATTTGGTTCAAGCAAGACACTTTGGAGAAGTGTTACCTGAAGCAGGCAGCTCCTGGCCCCTTCCTTCTCCCCTCCACTGCCTCCCTCTGTCCTGCCCACCCCTCCCCGCAGCTTTCCCCCTTCCTAAAAGGACAACAGTCCTCACAAGAGGTTTCCTGACATGCTGATGGGAAGTGGTCGCTCTGACCAGCCCCAGCCCATCAGTGCCAAAGCCTTTATTTTTCCCAGTTTGTGCCTCTATTTGTACACAGTAGAAGCCACCAGGAAGTGGTCACAGTTGTGTAAGTGCATCTCCACACCAGCAGGAGCATCCTGAAGACCTTATTTTTCAGACAGGGGATTGGTGTCCAGCCCTTTCCCGAGAGAGGGGGTTGTGCCAGGTGTGCTGTCCAGCTGTCTCTCAGAAGGAGCACTCTGGGGTTTTCTCTCTGCTGAGGCGTCTTCAGCAAAACCAACCCCCACCTAAGGCTGAGCTACCAACAAGTTTACTAAGAGACCTTAGGATTGATACATGTTTTTCTTCCAGGAAAATACAAATCACGTGTAAGCAAGATTCTGGAGCAATTTTGCCAAGTGGGGTCTGGAGCCAGAACTGCAGAAGGCCAGCTTTCTCCTCCCTCACCGCAGTGACCCTGACCTCTCAGCTTCAGTTCTCTCACCTAGAAAAGTGGGATTAACTGCTGGACCATCTCCAAATCTCCTTCTGGCTCTAAAATTTTGTGAGTTTAGCTTCAGGAAGGGACGTTAATACAACACTTCAAAGCTATTATTAGACATTAAAAGAAATTTAATTTTGGAAACTGATTTCTTAACTGGGTGCCAGAAATGGTATCATTGTGTTCTCTGCAAAATTGTTGAAATGGCAAGTATGTGCATCCCAAAGGGAAATCCCTACTATGATATTGTAGCAGATGCTCAGTGTTCAGATTCCATGTTTGCCAAAGAAGCCATGCCTTTTCACAGCCTGAAGAAGGCATAGGAGTGGACTCACAGGGGAGAGACAGTGGCAGCGGACCACGGAGTTGCTACTCAATCTTTAGCTACGTAAGTGATAGGCTTGTATGTTAAGGCATAGGACAGAGCATTCATTCTGCCAAGAAATCAACAGTGTATTTTCCCCCTTACAAAGGTTTGTGTGACTTGTGGGTGCAAGCAAGAAACATGAACAAGGAGACGGACACCAGTAATGACCCTCAGACTTCTCTTTCTGGTAGGGGCCATGTGATCACACAGATGAATTCAAGCTATAGTTGCTAAAAATAGTCACAAAGGCTGGGACACAGCGGTCCATGGCTGTAATCCCAGGCGCTCAGAAGGCTGAGGCAGGAGGGAAGCTAAAAGCAGGAAAATCACAAGGACCAGGCCAACCTGGGCCACTTAACCTTATCTTGTTAAAATAAATAATTAAATAAAAAGGGCTGGGGTGCAGCTCAGTGGTAAAGTGCCTCTAGGTTCAATCTCTAGTACCGCTATACAAGGAAATAATAAAAATTAAAAAATAACCACAAGGATTTTCAGCTAAAGCTCAACACAAAGAAAAAAAATATCAAGAAGAAAATGGTCATTTTTATGGAAAAGACCATTTTTCCTATGTTAGTCAAATTGTAATTGCTCTAGAATATGTAGACTTTTAGTAGATGGCAAAACATGTCAGAGTCTCATGGACTTGTAATATTGTATCTCAGAAGATATCATGTACCCTTACAAATCAAAACCTGATTCAGTTAATTTTAAATGCATTATTTTGAAAAATAATTTCAGTTGAAATTAGATTTCAGCAATGTTTTTGGTAATCATCTGAAGAAGAATATTACGTATCTTCTAACATTGGTAGCATCTCTACTGTTAATACACAGCTATATAAAAATTAGTTATCTAATTTACTAGAAACAGATATAATTTCCTAGTGCTTTGAAGGATTAGAGGGAGATATGCACAAATGGGCTTCCATCTTTGAAACACACACACACACACACACACACAGATCCAATTGTAAGAATTCATCATTTTTTACTTCAGAGTGCTCATTATATTCAACTCACTCAAAATAAGAGAGAGAACAAATTAAACTATAAGCTAGGATAGCTATTTCATCTATCATTTTCACTAATATAAAAAGGGCTGATCACTATTCATACTGCTGGTAGAACTATAAAATGTTAACCTCTGTTGAGGGCAATTTGACAGAATCAATCAAAATGACGAACGTACTCACTTTCAGTGGCAGCATTCCATTCCTAGGATCTTTTCCCTAGATATATACAAAATAATGTAATACAAAGCTATTCACTACATCATTGTTTGTCCTGGCAAAAACTGGGAACAGCTAAATGTCTATCAGTAAGGGACTAGTTACAATTCACTGAGCAGTAATCAGTGCGGTCTTACCAAAAAAAAAGAGGATGCTCTTATCCTATTGATATGTGCTGAATTCCAACATGTATTTAAATAACATATGCAAAACAACATGTATGTTTAGCCACACTGCAAAGAAAGGGGAAAAGTATATATAAACATCCATACATGTATACCATGCATGTACATATGTGTATACAAAAGTACAAATATATGCACATACAAGACCCTAACAATACAGATTCTGAGAAAGGAAACAAGATGTCTGAGAATAATAGAAAGAAGACTCCACTACATACCTTTTAGAATTTTTTTGAATTTCAAGCCCTGCAAACATGTTACTTATTAAAAAATAAATTAATATAGACCAACAAATGTGACTAATAAATTGTGCACTGGTAAGCAGAAAATTCATTCTCATATATATTACCTTTTAACAAGAACTTAAAGGACTGTATTTTTTAAATCCCAAAACATGTAGGCCGAGATTTTTTTTTTCAAGTCATATGATTAGGGCTATGAAGAATCAAAGTGAGCCTCTCTTCCTCTTTCCCAATCTCTTGGAGTTCTTATAAAATAATAAATTAAATATAACAGTTTGGAGGAAAACCAATTAAAGTCACACAAATCATCATTAACCCCTTCCCCAGATGAATGACAAAGAGACACATGTCTAATTAACACAGAGTCACATTGTGTAAAGATCAGTTAGCAAAGGAAAGGAACAGATGGCAAACCAGAAAACTTGATCTGACACTGAAAACTTCAGGCAGCCGAAGGAAACTGTACCTGAATGGAAATGGCTCTAGGAGTGAGGACCAACTCGCCCAGGCAACTCCCTCCAGCTTTCAGGAGCAGCGGGTCTTGCAATGTTGTCCCCACAAGGCAAAGCCATCCCAAAGCCATCCCGCTTTCTACATATGCAAACATGCAAACATACTCACACCCACCAACCAACCTCCCTTGGACCACAGAAAGATTTCCTATCCCCAGGCAACGAATGGCTCAGTTATTTCAAACCAATCTAGCATTTCAGTTCAACAAAAGGCACTGGACATCATCTTGGAGTCTGATGTAAGAAAAGCTGACCTGCAAGTTCATGCTTTAACAACCATGTCTTTTTCTTCCTCTGAAAGAGATTTAGAACAGGAGCCAGAGAAAGGGATAAAGATCACCGAGTGGATGAAACCCTCCTATGATCCACAGAGCAGGTACTGAGAGGGTCCTGCTTCCGGCACCCCCAGGCTCAAAATCAAACTAGAGAAAGCCGTGGCAGGCTCAGGGCCACTCCCTCTGTCTTCAAGTTCATCCCTCCCTCAGGCATCCTCTGTGGAAACAAGGAAGCCACAAGCCATGACAGTTCCACTGGCCAGACCCTCAGCAAGGAACCAGCAACTGACTCCACATGTTGGCGACTTCAGCATGGCTGGTCGATACTCCTTCTCCCTGTCCCCACTGACCCAAGCTGGGCAGGCAGCACATTTCAGACAGGATGCCTCCCAAGAGTCATGATGCAACCCTGAAAAAAACAGTCTGTTCAAGATCCAAAACCAGATCTGGTTTCTGCCAATTCAGATCAGAGGCGAAGGCACCTGCCATTAGAGAAGGCATGTTGAATTTACACGTATTTAACATCAGCACACACTTCACACGCTCTTGTTTTGTTTTTTGTTTTTTGTTTTACATACATAAAGTGTGTTAAAGGTACATTCTGTAGTGAATCGGATCAAAAAACCTTAGGGTAAACATCAGATACAGTTTTTGCTTTTTATATGAAAAGCAGCGAAGAGCAAGTTTTTGTTTGTTTGATTTTTTTGGACTCAGAAAATTAACTACTCAGAGCCAAAAAGTAAAATAAAATAAAAGGCAGAAGAGGGCCAATCAGATTATCTTTAGCTTTTTAGATTCTTTTTTTGTTTTTTAGGTTTTATAAGTATAAATGATTAGTACAATCATAATTATTGGATTTGAATGCACACTTTAATTCATAATACTGTGTGTATGTGTGTTTTATGTGTGTTCACACACAGCAGATTTATGTATATATTTTATACAAAGCTGACAGTTTCCACTAAATTAGTCGAGGTACTGGGATTCAAACTTAATTCCTTTCTCTATTCGAGACAGCAGGCTCCTCTGGATGGAGAATATTTTTAAATATAAAAACTAATTATCCTATCTCACTGCCTATAAATTCAATTTCTATTTCTAAGGCTGCTTCTGTTGTGCATCTCTCGGTAGGCTCTTTGCATCATGGCTTGTTTATAACCTCATCTAAAAGCACAAGAAAAAACTGGAATCAAATAAAATAAGCTTCCCAACCTTTTAGGAGGTTTTGGAAGCACAGCAACATTTCCATAATGATATATGCTATATATAAAAAATCAAGTCCGCTTGTTTTAAAAGGTAGTTCTTAAGTTGCAAATTTTATATGGAAAAAAATGTAGGAAGTATAAGGTGCACGGACAGGTGAAGAGTGAGCTAATGCCAGAGTCAGAAAGCTTTCTCTTGGTTAGACTTTCCAGCAAAACCAATTACCCCATGCACATGAAATTGCATCATGCAAACATTTTCAGATCAAAGTCTAGCCTCTGCCTGGTGTCAGCCTACTGAGAACTTCCAAGGCCATTCTGGAAGGAGTCTGAGAGTAGGGGTTTGAAATGCACTGCAACCGTTAGTTCCTCCCTTCTAAACTCTGCTGACTCCTTTCAAAGAGAGTCCTTCACAAATGTTTCAAGGAAAGCCAATTAGCAACCACAATTTATGCTTACCAGATGGGGTGGTGAAGGTCAAAGGCAAACCAAAGTAAACTGACCATGATAAATACTTGCAAACCATACATCTGAGAAGAGGCTAATATCCAAAATATATAAGGAATCCAAACAACCCAATAGCAAGACAACAAATAACCCAATTAAAAAATAGGCAACGGATCTGAACAGATGTTTTCCAAAAGAAGAGATATGAATGGCCAACAGACATGTGAAAAAATGTTCAACATCTCAGGGAAACGCAAATTAAAACCATAATGAGACATCACTTCACACATTAGGATGGCTATTATTTAAAAAAAAGATGAACAATAACAAGTATTGGCATGGATTTAGTGAAAATGAAACTTTTGTACACTGTTGGTAGAAATATAAACTAGTACAGTCCATTCTGAAAAATAACACGGAGGTTCCTCAAAAATGTAAAAGAGAATTACCACATGACCCAGCAATCCCACTTTGGGGCATTTATCCCAAGAAATTGAAATTCATATGTCAAAGAGATATCTGTGCTTTCATGTTTAATTCAGCCAATAACTGAGATATGGAAGCAACCTAAGTGTATAGGGGCAAATGGAAAATAAAATGTGATATATACTGTGACATATATATACAATGGAATACTTGCTACACAACTTTGGAAATAGGGAAATTTTGTCATTCATTGTCATTTGTCAACATGGATGGAACTAAAAGATATGATGGCAAGTGAAATAAGCCAGACATAGAAAGACAAATGTTACATAATTTCACATGTATGTGTGAGGTGACCTCATAGAAACAGAGACTAGAAAGGTGATTACCAGAGGCAGTGGGGATGGAGGATGGATAGGCAACAGGAAGATTTGATCAAAGGGAACTAAATCTCAGAATAGAGGAGTAAGTTTAGTAACCTATTATTCTGCACGGTGACCACAGTTATAATAATGCACATTTCAAAATTACAGAAAGGATAGATTTTTAGTATTCTCATTGCCAAAAAAAAAAAAAAAAGTTGGTGAAGTGATGGATATTTTAATTAGCTTGATCCAATTTTCTATAATGTAGAGTGATCAAAAAAAATCACATCATACCCTAAAAATATGCACAATTATTTGTTAATAAAAATAAGTTAAATTATAAATAAAAATCAAAATAGCCTAAGAAACCCTCAGTGCCTTTTGACTCTCTCAGTATCAGTTATATGAACCTCTCTGAAGAAAATCCCTCATCAGAGATCTGGTCTTGGGCTACTAGCTCAGCTGCCTATTGGCTGTGCAACTGTGGCAGTCTCTTTGAACGCTTTAGACCTTATTTTACTTATGAAATGAGGTAGCACTGAATAAGGTTACTCCAAGGTTCTTTCAGGCTCCAACTGTCCAAGGTTCAGGGTCAACCCTTGTGGCTATGCCCCACCCTTGCCAGACCCCGCCCCCGAGCCTGGCCCCGCCCCCAAGCTGTGCCCCTCGCTCATCTCTGTTAAGACTGTCTGCACTATTTTCTGCACATAGCATGACGACATGAGAACTTTTTCATCAAGATGCTTCCTGTCTCTTTGTTTTGTAAGCATCACAGGGCAAATGAATAGTAAAGACATAAAAAAAAAAAAAAAAAAAAAAAAAAGCTAAACTAAGACGACTGAGGTCGGATTCCTCAAAAAGGAAGAGTTTCCTGCTTTAGGAAATTCAGGCTTCCTTTTCAAACAAGGAATCTAGGAAGCCATTTTTACATCCCACTTCCTCAATCCTCGTTCTTGAGTGTTTGATTCTTATTTCTCAATTCCCTGGAGATTAAGAAGGAAGGGAAGATATTTTTCCTATCTACCCTCTGATTTGGATCACTCCAACACACTTAACAGTTTCAGAAGCTGATTTCTAAGTCTTCTGGTAAACACTTTCTAGGCCCATCTACCATGGGAGTTGGCCTTTAAATGACACTTTTCCCCCACTGAACATGCACAAAGGTCGCTGTTTGAACTTGTCCTGCCCTTATTTCTGAAGCCAGTAGAACCACAGGGCAACACAGTTTTCTTCTACTCCTCACTTTTTTTTTTTTTTTTTTGCAAGTACTGGGATTGCACTACCATTGCAGGGGTGCTATATCTCCAGCCCTTTTAATAATAATAATAATAATAATAATAATAATAATAATAATAATAATCATTATTATTATTATTATTTTGAGACAGGGTCTCACTCGTATCCCAGTCTGACCTGGAACTTGTCATCCTCTTGCCTCAGCCTCCCCAGCAGCTGGGATTACAGGTGTACCCACTGGGCTTGGTTCCAACTGTCACTTATGAGCCAAAGACACTGAAGCTGGAGGCTGCAGTGGAATTTCTGCCTCCAAGCCCACCTTCCTCCAGAAGAAGAAATTTTCAGGGACTTGGCTGAATCTAGGTATTTGTAATTCACAAATGTAATTTTTTTAAATAGAAAAATCTCAGTCCAACTATACCCATGTTGCACAGAACAACACTGCTATTACTATGTTCAACACACCAAGGACAGAATTAGATTTCACCTTCATGATTTTGGGTGTGGCCCCAGAGGAAGTACTTATTGGCCATTTGTAGTTCTGGCATCCTTTTATATAGAGAAATTGGAAAATAAGTTTGGTTACCAAGATTTGTGTGACCTGAAGACCACAGAGTTACTGAGGCCATGCTAAACAAGCTTAGGTGACCTTCAAACACATGTAGCAATAATATTGCACCCAGCAGTGGCAAAATACTAAGTGGCCCTACCCTAACTGTCCTCCTTGGCACCCCTAAGCCCATCAGTGAGCACATGGTAGAGAACTTGGAATGTGTGCTTCCATTCTGGTGCCAAGCACTATATACCCTGATCCTTTTCTTAAGCACATTTTGAGTGGCCCTGAGTTTCACAACTCAATGAGCTTCATTGTCAAAAAAATACAAGACTTGCTTAAGTAGTTTCATATGTAAACTGCCTAGCTTCAGAAGGGTTGCGTACTACATTATGTGCAGTTTTCTTTCTTTATTGTTTGCAGTTTCCAGTTTAGGATTTATCCAATTATCTATCAATTGTCTGGAAGGCCAGGCATGGGGGATTCCAGTTACAGGAAATGCTTCTGCCATCTCAGGGCCTGCAGGCACAAAGCAAAGCCTGGGCGACGGCAACAGACCCAACAGGGTGCTGACTGTTGGAAGGGTAACTTACTTTCCAAGGGGGGCCGCCTGGCAAAATAACCTGAGTGTGAAGTTTAACTACAAAACTGCTTCTAACCACTTTGCATGAATCTGTTATTTATTACAGGAAGGGGAGTAAAAACTGGGGTTGTGAAGGGGGGTTGAAACCTGCTTGAGATGTCAGTCAACATCTGCTCTTGTTAAGGGTGTGGGGCACAGACCAAGGATTGCCCTTTTAGGTGATATAGTTGGCTCTGGGGCAGACAGACAGACTTCTGAGGGAGTCTGAGGCCAGCCTGGCACCTCTGCAGCTTACACAGGGGGCCTGGTTCTCACTGAGAAACCCAGAGACCTCAGTCTCCACTTGATTCCGGTTATGGACAGCAATCCCTTGAAAGCCCAAGTCTGGTCATTCCCCTTCCCTGCTGCAAACTGTCCCCTGGCTCCCATGGCACTCAAAACAAAATCCTAAATTCCTGCAAGAGTCATCAGCTCTTGCTGTGGTTCTCTAGGGGGACAGAACCATCCCCAAGGACATTGTGGACATCCATGCTGCTGCTTTGGTAGACACAGGATAATTAGGGGGAAGCAGTGGCATTAGAGGGTAGGGTCCATGCAGGTTGGACAACCTGAAATGCACACATGGTCCAGCACAATCCAGAAATGGCCTACGTCCCTGACTTTCCAGCCTCCCCTGAATATGGCTCTAGTGACAAACCTAACACCAATTTACATGTCCGGGTTTTTCTCCTCGATTTCCATAAACAAACACTGAATTTCTAGGAATGCAATACAGAATGATATATTTTGCTTTGTTTAGAACTTTACTAAGCAGTCAACATTTCAGAAACATCACACCACTAGATGGAACAGCAATTATGTCATCTGAGTCACCAATGTAACACATCTGCAGCCCTCTGTATTTATAGCTGCCACGTTTGCAGTGATCCTCCATGCGGGTACAAGACGTGACCACACTGCTATTTTCTCCGGTATAGGCATACTGACACTGAGGTGTTGAAATGCTTATTATTTTATTACAAATTTCTTCTCTTTGGTACTTCCTTTTATATTACAGTTAAGAAATCACATTGACGGTATGTAGTTATGTGAACAGGAGGTTATGGTTTCTACCAATTTCACTGCAAGAATAAAAGGAGTGTTACTAAATATCAAAGTAAGGTGTGGGTCTGGCCAGGGCTCCCTCCTCCCCCTCTCATTTCCTATCACTTTCCCTCACTCTGTGACACTTCGTGGTCCCTCTCCTCATGCCCAGCTCCTGCTCCTGGGCCTTCTACTTGCCATCGGTCTGCAAAGTGCATCTTTCAGATATCTTACTTTCCCTTCCAACCTGGTCCTCCTTCTTCTTTCTATAGAATGTGTCATTGTCCTACATTAAATTTTATATTTATTTATTGACTTTCTCGACTACTAGAATGCTGTTCCGTGAGACCAAGAATTTGGTCTTTTCCCCCAGCACCAGGGACAGGGTCTGACATATAAAAGGCACTTAACACGTGACAAATCAAGGTGGAGACGAACAAACAAGCTGGGGCCCAGCTTCCCTGGGAACCAGCACATTCATTCCACTGCCACCCTGCGAGCACTGTGACGAAATGGGCTCTTCCCTCCTCTGACTGTGTCCCCATGCCCCACCCTCTGCCAAGTAGCAGTACAGTAAAAGTGGGAGCCCAGGGAAGAGCAGGGGGTGAATTTTTCTTAAAATAACTGTGTTGTGAGGACCAGCTCTGTATGGGTGCACTCTGATAGAGGTGCTGCCTCTAGACCTGGGGACCCCGTCTGTCCTCTCTGCTCACTGGTCAGAGCTACACTGGAGAAACAGAGGCTGGATTCTGAAAGGCAGAGCTTCTTCCCCAACTAACCAACTTCCCTAAGACCATACCTAATCACTATCACTCAAAAACCAGACAATTTTGAGGTCACTAAATAGTAGCTGCTGAAGGCAAAAGTGTGTCTTTCCTTATTATTTTCTGGGTTTTGTTTCTTGTCATGCCACTGCCCCTGCCTGCTACCTTAAAATGCATTCTGTTTAGAAATCACCAGGAAGAAATGCTATTCAAAGTGAAATCCTGATAGGTACGTTTGATCTTGATAAATGGACTCTAAAAGGCCACCTATAGCCAAGACACACTGGAGGAAAAGAAAATGAGGTGAAGAACTTTCTCTACTGGACATTGGCAGAGATGCTCTCCTTTGGTCAAACTTGGATCAATGTCTGTGAGTTCTCTTTCTGACTAGTCCCTGACCTTTGGCTTCCTTTTTGCTATCCTTGTGGAATCCAGTTAGATCGAGAATTCTACTAAGTCAATTTAGTGACATCCCCTACCCTTAGTATCTGTCCTTCAGCAACAATTCTAGCTGGTCTAACAAGAGCCCTGATGCTCCTCTTAGTGATTTCCCATCCACTGATGCCACCTGCTCCTTAGCTATACACCCTCACTTGTCCTTACTGTAGCCAGATGGAGCCTAATATCTCTCCTACTCCAAGATTCCATCGCAGCTGTCTCTATACCCATTGCAATCAATGGTCCCCCTTGATTGAAATGTTCCTCACCATTTTTAACTAGTATCATAAGTAATTTTTTCTTTAACAATATTGAGACATTATAAAACCAATAAGACAGTGTGGTGTGGGGACAAATACAGGCAAACTGACAAACAAAATAGAACAGAGAGCCCCCAAACAGACTCATACATACAAAAGGCACTTAATTTTTTAAAAAAAAACATGACAGAAAATGAGAAAAAAGGTATCCCCCCTTCCCTCCAAAATGTGGCTGAGTCGACTGGGTGTCCCTGTAGAAGAAAGAAACACTTGGTCACTCCCCAGCTGGAAGCATCCACATAACTCAACTCCAGATGCTTATATAGATATAAACATGAAAGGCAATGATACAACTTTCAGAAGTTAACAT